GGTTCGGCTATGTTGACGTTTGAGTCACTCTCCGAAACTGCAGAATTTGCTAGGAAGTGGGTTCCATTTTGCAAGAAGCACAACATTGAACCAAGGGCCCCAGAGTTTTACTTTCAGCAAAAAATAGATTACCTCAAGGACAAGATCCAGCCTTCTTTTGTGAAGGAAAGACGAGCAATGAAGGTAAGCTACAAGCCACATGCTTAGATTGCTCTGTCCGCAAATTCTGCTTGGATATTAACTTTGGGGTATGCTTTGTTTCAGAGAGAGTATGAAGAATTTAAGATACGAATCAATGCACTTGTTGCCAAAGCCCAAAAAGTGCCTGAAGAGGGGTGGACCATGGCTGATGGCACCGCTTGGCCTGGGAATAACCCGAGGGACCATCCTGGCATGATTCAGGTACTTTTTACTTCAATGCGTCTGTCATTTGAAAATAATGTCAACTTAATTTGAATCTTATGTATTAAACTTGCTTTTCGTGGAATTCAGGTGTTCTTGGGGCACAGTGGTGGCCTTGACACTGATGGTAATGAGTTGCCACGACTTGTGTATGTCTCTCGTGAAAAAAGACCAGGTTTCCAGCATCACAAGAAGGCTGGTGCAATGAATGCATTGGTATGTGTTCTGTTCCACGAATTTGCTTGTGTACATTGCATTGGATCTTATCTGGTTCGTTGCTAATTATATGATTGCATATCTTTTGCTGGTTGGCAGATTCGCGTGTCTGCCGTGTTGACAAATGGTGCCTATCTTCTTAATGTGGATTGTGATCACTACTTCAATAGCAGCAAAGCTCTTAGAGAAGCAATGTGCTTCATGATGGATCCCGCTCTAGGAAGGAAAACTTGCTATGTCCAATTTCCACAAAGATTTGATGGCATTGATTTGCACGATCGATATGCTAATCGCAACATAGTTTTCTTTGATGTAAGTCTAGTGGTGTCTGTGTTCATCATGACGACAACACTTTCTTGTCTCTTACATGGTTCTCCTCTTTGCAGATCAATATGAAAGGTTTAGATGGCATCCAGGGTCCAATGTATGTCGGAACAGGATGCTGTTTCAACAGGCAGGCCTTGTATGGCTATGATCCTGTATTAACTGAGGCTGATTTGGAACCTAACATTGTTGTTAAGAGCTGCTGCGGTGGTAGAAAGAAAAAGAGCAAGAGCTATATGGATAACAAAAACCGAATGATGAAGAGAACCGAGTCTTCTGCTCCCATCTTCAACATGGATGATATAGAAGAGGGTATAGAAGGTATGTGCTTGCAATTTTTACCTTAACATTTATTCTTGGCATCTGAAGACAAGGCGCTGTATATACTGCATCACTAAAGCATTATGCTTCTATTTCGTCTTCGCTTTGGTTCTTGAGATTCCGAGTTATGACTTGCTTCAGCTAACCGCTCTTTCTGAATCTCATCAGGTTATGAGGATGAAAGGTCAATGCTTATGTCCCAGAAGAGATTGGAGAAACGATTTGGTCAGTCTCCTATATTTACTGCATCCACCTTTATGACTCAAGGAGGCATACCACCTTCAACAAACCCAGCTTCTCTACTAAAGGAAGCCATCCATGTCATCAGCTGTGGATACGAGGACAAGACCGAATGGGGAAAAGAGGTTAGTTTGAGAGTCATAGTTTCCGTCATTCTTTTCTCTATGCGGAGATACGAAACTGGAAGTGAGATTTTCTTTTATTTTGTTTCAGATTGGCTGGATCTATGGTTCAGTTACTGAAGATATTCTTACTGGGTTTAAAATGCACGCAAGAGGGTGGATATCAATCTACTGCATGCCACCACGGCCTTGTTTCAAGGGTTCTGCGCCAATCAATCTGTCTGACCGTCTTAATCAAGTGCTCCGATGGGCCCTTGGGTCAGTTGAAATTCTGTTTAGCAGACATTGTCCTATCTGGTACAATTACGGTGGGCGGTTGAAACTTCTGGAGAGGGTGGCTTACATCAACACCATTGTTTATCCATTAACATCCCTCCCACTTATCGCCTATTGTGTGCTTCCTGCTATCTGCCTCCTCACCAACAAATTTATCATCCCCGAGGTTAGTCACAAGAAAGAAACCCTTTCGCATGTGCAGAGCTATGTTTCTCTTGTTAAATCTCGCATTGCTAAAACCCTCACAATCAGGTGTCATTGTGTCTGATGTTGATATATTCTTCTTTCTGATATGCAGATCAGTAATTATGCTGGGATGTTCTTCATTCTCATGTTTGCCTCCATCTTTGCCACTGGTATATTGGAGCTCCGATGGAGTGGTGTCGGCATCGAGGACTGGTGGAGAAACGAGCAGTTCTGGGTTATCGGTGGCACATCTGCCCATCTTTTCGCGGTGTTCCAGGGTCTGCTCAAGGTGCTGGCCGGGATCGACACCAACTTCACTGTCACATCCAAGGCGAACGACGAGGACGGCGACTTCGCCGAGCTATACGTGTTCAAGTGGACCAGTCTCCTGATCCCTCCGACCACCGTCCTGGTCATCAACCTTGTGGGCATGGTGGCCGGCATATCATACGCCATCAACAGCGGCTACCAATCCTGGGGCCCGCTCTTCGGAAAGCTCTTCTTCTCGATCTGGGTGATCCTCCATCTCTACCCCTTCCTCAAGGGTCTCATGGGAAAGCAGAACCGCACGCCGACCATCGTCATCGTCTGGTCCATCCTCCTCGCCTCCATCTTCTCCCTCCTGTGGGTGAAGATCGACCCGTTCATATCCGACACCCAGAAGGCCGTCGCCATGGGGCAGTGCGGCGTCAACTGCTGATCGGATCATCGGCGCTCAAGAGTATCTGCCCCCCTCGTGTAAATACCGGAGGGGGTTAGATGGGATTTTTTTGGTTGTAGATGAAGACGGGAGGAGTTTATCTAAATTAATTGTTGCCCCTTTGGTTAGCCGCCCATGCTGCTGAGAACCACTGTCTACGAAACCTGCAGCAGCGTACATTGTGATTTTTTTTCTCCCCTTTCCCCCATTTGTGATATCTGTTCTTTGTTGCTTAGAGTATATTATGTCCGAATTGTATTTATACACACTGTGACACCGACTATTTATATAAGGCAGCTGTTGCATCAACTCTTCTGCAATTCTAGTGTCAACCGTGACATGGAATATGAATTGCCATGTATCTGCCTGATTGCATGATGCCAGCTTGATTGTGATTGTTCTATGGGTTAGTTAAAAATTTGGCATGAATGGGCGTGGCAATGTCTCAGTTGATAATGTTTGGTCTGCTAGTAGCCTGCTTTGATGCTTGATCGAACACTGCCGTTCGGCACCCAGCTGCGCAGCCTGTCAAATCGAGGCCCATTCGGCCATTCCCAAGAGCGCTGAATTGGTCTCATGAACAGCAAATTCGTGAAAAAACAGCAAAAACAAGTTCAAAGAAATCTGCTTTTTTTTTTGCATCCAAGATGCTCGAGTGCGCAAAGGTGCATGCAAATTTTCACGATGCTATGGCATTTTGAGAAGCCTGTGAAAGAGAACTGGCCCTCAAAGAAACTTCAAAAAATTGCACTGTTTGAACTTGATTTTGTTTTGTTGGGCATGAGCTCCTCGAATTTCATTGGAGCACAAAAAATTGCACGCTCCTACTGACTTGTCTCTTCCACCAAACTTCGTGTTTTCTCGTATGTGATGATCCTCTTCCATGTTTAGACTCTATATTTTTTCTGCGGAAACACGTTGAACAAAGTATTTCATAATCTCTGACATTCATTAATCGTTAGTGGCAATATTACAATGATTTTCTTGAAAAATCCGAGATTATATAGTGTAAACAACGGTGAGATGAGGGCAAAAAATATCACTCATCAGCGGCCCGATGTGCCACCATGCCCTCCCTCCTCCCAATCACGCGCTCGCCGTCGTGCCTCACCGCTGCTCACCCATGTCACTGACTTACGAGCCCTAGGAAGCTAGGCCTTTTAAATGTAAAATAGAAAAAAGTAAAGATTTTACGTGAACTAAGAATAGTGGCTGTCACAAAACTTTCCATCAATTATACGGCCATCACGTAAAATGGCTTTTATACAAGGCTTTATAGGGAAGCTATTGTGGTTGCTCTAAATGCATTAGCATGGTAGCCTCAGAGTTTGACAACTCTGTTTCTTAAATAAAGTTGTCACAATTCAAAAGCAGCCGCCTCCTCCTGTCCTCCTTCTCAAGAAAGATTATGGTTTCTCTGTCTGCATGTTACAGTTAATTAAGTGTTCATATCACAAAAACAAAGTTATTTATTTATTTGTTATTAGCTCAACATCTATATCTATACCAATATAAAAAGATCCAAAGGGGCAGTTCCAAACCATCTCGACCGTCAAATCATGTTATCTAGCGGTTCAAATCGCTCCAATGTTGAGCACCAAACACGTTTAACGCTCTAATTACCCATCACTGCCATATATGACTCAACGCTATCCCATGAAATCTGCCATATAATTAATATCCTACCATTCCCGTAAAAAAATAATTGATATCTTACCAAATACCAACGTACAACAGATATATCTTACCTAATATAAAATGCAACTAATATCCTACCTAATATAAACGTGCATTGCACGTACATTATTACTAGTTATAACTAAAAGCACATATCAATTCAAGTTGTCAAACCAAATGTAAAATCTGCAACATTCTGGGGTTCAATGGCTATAAACCAAACAATAACAACTTGCCAATTTTTTTGATTTTTTTCGAAACAATGACAATTTTTTGTCATGCCCTCACTTTGGTCATGCCAACAATTTGGTAAGGCAAATTGGGACAAAAACAGCCCGCATTGCCCACACGGCGAAACCACTGAGCAGTGAGCCTGCCCGACTCCCCCCAAAATCCCGAGCCTCGCCGTCGAGGCAGCAAACCCTAGCTCCCCCATTTCCAGTCGAATCGAGCGAGCCCTTGTCGGAGCAAGGCCGCGTGCGGTGACTGGTGGCGAGGATCCAAATCCTCCGTCTCGTGCTCGCCAGCCGCCGGCCATGGGGAAGAGGGAGGCCGCGGCGGCGGCGCCTGGGCCCGACAAGCCCGAACCCCACGGAGCTGCAGAGAAGCGGGCAAGGAGTGGCCACGGTGACGAGACGGCCGACGATTTCATCAGCGGGCTCCCCGATGTCGTCCTTGGCTCCATCATCTCCCTCCTCCCCACCAAGGACGGCGGCCGCACGCCGGTCCTCTCCCGCCGATGGCGCCACCTGTGGCGCTCCGCGCCTCTCAATCTCGCGGCCACCCTCGCCCCCGTCCGCACCTCCTCCCGTTGCGTCCCCGCCCGCACCTCCTTCCGCGTCCTACCCTCCGCCGTCTCCGAGATAATCTCACAGCACCCTGGCCCTGCCCGCCGGTTTTACTTGCGTTGCCCCGGCGCCGGAGACCCAGGCGCCGACGACCTCTGCGCCCAGGCGGAGAGCTGGCTTCACTCCCCGGCACTCGCCAACCTCGAGGAGCTCGATATCAGCTACGCCAACCCCCAGCTGCTGCCATCTGCGCTCCGCTCTGCATCCACCCTCCTCGTTGCCAAGATGAGCCATTGTGGTTTCCCCAACGAGATCGGGCCGTCCATGAACTTCCCCCTCCTCAAGCAGCTCTCCTTGATGGACGTTTACATCTCGGAGGATGTCTTCCACGATTTGCTCTCTGGTTGCCATGCCTTGGAGAGTCTTTACGTGTCCAAAGTTTTTGGTGTGAGATGCCTCCGTATTAGCTCGCCGAAAATCAGGAGCATCGGCTTCTATTTCCATAGCTCCAAACAAAAAGGAGAACTGGTCATCGAGGATGCTCCTCGGCTTGTAAGGTTACTAATACCTTATTATGGTGCCTATGACGATGATTGTGTTACTATCCGGGTAGTTAGGGCGCCTAAACTGGAGATATTGGGCCCTTTGCTACTCGTCGTCTCCAAGCTCCTAGTCTCCCAGGTAGCAGTAGCAGCATCCTTGAATCTTGCATTTGGCATTCCTTCATGCAGATAATTACTTATTTGTTATGTCTTTCTATATCTATTGTTTGTTTCCTTCAGGGAATAAGCCCAGTCAGCTCGGCAAACTCAATGCGCACCGTCAAGATTTTGGCTCTCAGGTCTTCTGGCCATGAATTGGACCCAGTTCTTAACATCCTCAGGCGGTTTCCTTGTCTGGAACAGCTCTATGTCATTGTGAGTACTCATCTTTGCTTGTTTCAAATATCTGATTTGATTGGCATATTATCTAGTCTAGTTTGCAACAGCTTCAACATATCCCTCTTATTTCCATTTGCAGTTTCACAAACACAATGAGCAGGATAAGAAAAATGGGCCTCGGTATGACCCACTACATCCAATTGAATGCCTTCAAACCCATCTCAAGAGAGTGGTGTTTCGGCCATTCACGGGCAATGACAAACAGTATGAATTCGCCAGGTTCTTTGTTTTGAATGCAGTAGTGTTAAACAAAGTTGAATTCGAAGGATTCGGTGACTACAACAGTGTATCGTTGGCTTATCAACACAGTTTTCTACAAGTAGAAAACAGAGCTTCTCGAGATGCTCAATTTGAATTCAGGAGATATATTCGTACCGAGCACCAGTTCGTAGAGCACATCCATGATTTGTCAGTGGTTGACCCGTTCAGCAGCCATAGCCAAGATTGATGCCTGAAGATTGCACCATCTTAGTGTCTTGTGTGCATTTTGTAGACGACATTGACGCGTGAAGATTGCATCGTCTTTCACATAAGTCTGCCCAAGTTCTAGTCTGGAGCTCCTCTCTTATTCTGGTAACTTATGAAGTTGCCCTTGTTAAAACTGGTAAAGATGTTTTTGGATGAAAAAATAACTGCACTGAAGTAAAATTCTGATGGGGAGGGATGCAAAAATATTCTGCCAAAAGTTGTAACTCGAGGCAGCTGGTAAGTGGTAACTCCATCTGCCAAAACTCATCCTAGGGTCTTATCCTATGCAATTATGGCTTTGTTCTGCCTATGCTGGGTGTTGGATATTCTGCTAATTATGGCTTATGAAAGGTCAGCCTGTGGCTTAGCCCCCTATGACTTTCTAGCTAGGAAGGAGATGCCTCTCTGTAATTTTAAGATATATCTGTATGTTATCAGCTAGAAGTTCTGCTGATGATCAACATGCTTCAGTTGGCTACTGTTTGATCTGTTATTATAGTTGAGTTCACTGAAATGGAATTGGTCACATCCTTGTGCAGATTTGCAAGTAATTTTCTTAACAGCGTCGTATTGGGCTAGGGACCTGAAGATAGTGTTGGCTTTGCCAGTGATTCTGGTGTATATTGCTTCTTAACCTGTTTTCAACATTACTACTAGATAAGTACTAGTAATTCTAAACATCTCTAAAGATCGTTCAATCCTATTTGCTAAAGATAGAGACAACCTTGTTACTTGCAAGACCAGATTTCGGTCTGCTAAAACTACCATTCGTTGTGTAGAAGGCTTTTTTAATCTATCTATTTGCCCTTTGATTGAAAAATACTACTCCTTTGGTCATCTAGTATTTTCAATGAAATTGACGACATCTCGTCGCTGGAGATTCTTATATCTTTCACATGAACATAAAAGAATCAGCAGGAAACCTCGTTGTGGGCTCTGGTAAATCAGTAGAAGAGCAAATGTTTTCAGGGACACAAGTAGAGGAAAAATGTTGGTACCCAATACTTGTGGCATGTATATAGAGGAAAAATGTTGGTACCCACCTAAAAAAAAGTGGTGTTATGGTCATTCTTGGGCTATGGGAAACGGCTTGAATTTGCGAGGTTCTTTGTATTGAATGCAAAGGCGCTAGACAAAATTGAATTTGAAGTATATATAATGAGTACAGCAGTGAAACGGTGGCTTATCAGCACATGCTGCTACAAATGGAAAACAGAGCTTCCGGAGATGCTCGGTTTGAATTCAGGATTAGCCCTACTAAATACGGACTGAGTGTCATGTTTTGAATTCAGGAATGCTTCATTCGGACCGAGCGCCATGTAAAGAAGCATATTCATGATTTGTCAGTGGTCAACCCCACAGCCATAGACGGCATTGGTGCCTGAAGATTTCACTGTCTTGTGCTCATTTTGTAGATGGTGTTGATGCCTGAAGATTGCATCATCTTCCGCATAAGTCTCATCTATTTCTTAGTCTAAAAATTCCTTGGTAATATTTCCAGTAACTTATTAAGTTACCCCTGTTAAAACTGCAAAAGATGTTCCTGAATCCAAAAATAGTGCCCTGTGGAAATTTTCCATGGGGAGGGGATGATAATACTGCCGGTCTGCTGAAACTTCTCCTACGGTCTTACCCTGCACAATTATGGCTTTGTTCTACCTAAGCTGGGCTAGAAACACTTGCTTGTGTGGGGAACTTAATTGTCTTTTCAGTTATACACATGCACGGGATGCTTAATTGCTGATTTGATCTTTTGCTTACATGTAGCATTTGTTTGATACTGGCAAAAGGTCAACCTGTAGGCTAGGCCTCTATGTTTTTGTAGCTAGGAGTTAAATTTTTGCTACAACAGTCTGGGGAAGTGAATGCTGCAATAACACCATATCTCTCTCCGACTGCAACTGGAACATGCTTCTTCTGCCTACTACTCCTACTTTGTTATGTTATTAGAGTATGGGTTACTGAAATTAAATTTTATTGCACCCTCGTACAATCTGGCAGGTAATCTTACTCTTTCTCTTTTAGCAAGAACAGCATTGGTTCCTTGTGTAGTGCTACATGCTTGTCAACTTGTTTGTACTTGCTGCCAGAGAGAATTAGTTTACTGCTTGCAAAACCTAACTTTTGCTGGATCTTTATCAGGATTCTCACTATTAGTTGGCTGGGAAGAAGGATGCTACTGTATCCGTATGAAGGGCGCGCGGTGGGCGTGCTTTTTCATTTCTTTTCATTATAATCTTTTAGGATTGGTATAAGTGGTGCTACTGCGCGGGTGCTCAACGGTTTTTATTTATAAAACCAGGAGATTTCGTCAAAATGGAGAGTTTCTGTTAAAAGCGTGACGAAACGAGAGGGGTTCGGCTTCCTCCTAGTTTTATGTCCCACTGAAGATTCTGACCAAAAGAAATTCAGAGGGCGATGCACCAGTCCCTGAACGTCCTCTTGCTATACATATCATTTGTAGAAACCTGCAGAATGTTCTTGGCTCAGGCACAGCCGTAACAAATTTGGTTTCTACCAACAACAACAAAAAAAAAGGTTCCTCGCGCTTCTCCTCCTTCTTTTGTTTCTTTTTTTTTTCACATGTGTTTGAGAGTTCAAGGTTATAAATTAAACCAAGTGGTTAGTTTGGAGTTGAAATGTGGACTTTTCTAAAAAATAATCACCATAACATGGCGTATATCTTTATTTTGTAGACCACATAGAGGTAACCATACCAAGTGGCGTAGACACTCTTATGGCTATTTTCATGCCATAATATGTGTACTTTCATTTTTTTCTTTGAGGTAATCATTACCAAGCAGTGTAGACCTTACTCTTATGGTACTTTGTAAAACGTTGTGTTAATTAAAAACACTATGAAGGTAAGCACCAAGGGGCCGTGTAGACCTCACAGTTGTGAACAAAGCCATACATTGGTACTTTGTAAAACGTTGTGTTAATTAAAAACACTATGAAGGTAAGCACCAAGGGGCCGTGTAGACCTCACAGTTGTGAACAAAGTCATACATTGTCATAAATGCAATCCGTAAGATATGTGCAAAAATTAAAAGTAGTCATATCATTTTCAAACATAATCAACATATAGTAATTAAAATTGCATCCATACATCTGTTGACAGAAAATGTGCAGACATCACATAGTAATATGTTAGGAATTACTAACAAACGCAGATGTAGAGAAAATTGAGAAACCTAAACCCTAATTGTAAAAGAAAACATTTTTTTGTTTGTATTTTTTTTTTCATTTTTTTGTTTGCAATGTGCCACAAAAGCTAAAAGGCAAGTTCTACAGGACGGCGGTTCGACCCGCAATGTTGTATGGCATTGAGTGTTAGCCGACTAAAAGGCGACATGTTCAACAATTAGGTGTGGCGGAGATGCGTATGTTGAGATGGATGTGTGGCCACACGAGGAATAATCGAGTCCGGAATGATGATATACGAGATATAGTTGGGATAGCACCAATTGAAGAGAAGCTTGTCCAACATCGTCTGAGATGGTTTGAGCATATTCAGCACAGGCCTCCAGAAGCTCCAGTGCATAGCGGACGGCTAAACCGTGCGGAGAATGTCAAGAGAGGGCGGGGTAGACAGAATTTGACATGGGATGAGTCCGTTAAGAAAGACCCGAAGGATTGGAGTATCACCAAAGAGCTAGCTATGGACTGGGGTGCGTGGAAGCTTGCTATCCATGTGCCAGAGCCATGAGTTGGTTGCAAGATCTTATGAGTTTCACCAAAATTACTAGTTGAGGAGTACACGTTGCAAAGATCACTCCAACTCCCCTGGTTGCTACAAGTGGTGCACATGCAGCGCGACACTTGTCGCAACTTGGGAGTTTTTTCTTTTTTCGTAGATCCGTTTATTCTAAACATTTTATCTTTCAAACCGTACGTCCAAACACTACAAGAAATATGTCAATTAGTGACCTTCTGTCAGTGATCCTAGAAGAATTGGTCATAGCTCTATGACCATCTGAGACCAATTGGTCAAAAGCTGTTCGGGGGGCTTCAAACCCTAAACCATTGTGACCATTTTGGTCAGAAAGGTCGTAATTTCCTTACACGAAATGGTCACAAAGCAAACAATGCTGGTCCGCTGCCTTATTTCTAGTTGTTAACGACCAATATAGATGGTCATAGCCTTGTAGATTGTGGTGGGTTGTGATGACTACGCGCCATCTCATCAGTTTTGCCTATGTGTCATGTCCATGTGTCAATTTTTGCCCTAGGTTGTGAAGCAACCTATATTTCTGTTATTCCAAAAATTTCAAAAAAATCTCATAAATTGTTTGGATCATATCTTCATCAAATATGTCAAAAACCTTCCTTGCCTAGTTCAAAAATAACTCAATAATATTCATTTTCCTATTCTGTTTAGAGCAGCAGTTTGTGAAGGAAGTGATATTTATATATTCTTGATTTCCCTAAAAATTTGTGAAGACGGTCTTCTTAGTAACTGATCATCCTCAGCCAAAACTCACGCCCATTAGCCATGTGCATTTCCCGTACCGCAAATCAAACACTTGGCTGCTTATTCATGTTTGAGCATCGATCGGTCTCCTCGTAAGAATCTTATGTTATAATTTTCTTCCTAGCATCTAACTGGGGAGTGACCAACCCACTAGACATGCCTAGGCCGCCCAAAACGCATGGCAACGCCACAGTCACGCGATGACCACGCGGCGGGCATGCGAGCTTATGTGCTCTAGAGTTGGGGCCCTCAGCCACCGTCCAAACCTCGATGTCTCGCCATCAAACCATGTATTTATGATTAAATAGATACTTATTTACCTAGAAATGATTTTTGGAAAAAATAAAGAGCAAACTATGAGGCACCTATAGTTCAAATTTGACCCGCTTCCAACTGAATCAGCGGGAATTTGTCTTTTTCACCAGAGGTGGATCAAAACTTTTGACACCCAATCATTTTGTCAATTGTGCATTATATATGTCTTAGTATTTTATAAAATTGATTAG